GGGCGACAGAGTGAGACTCCAACTCAAAAAAAAAAAAAAAAAAGAGTGAGTCAGGCTCTGTGACAAGCTGTGACTCAGGGCAGTGATCTTGCCTCTCTGTTCAGTGTTTCCATGAAGCTCATGAGATTGTATAAGAACTGAATGAGTTAATTCACATAATGCATTTGGCATGTAACAAGCATACAGCAGATGTTCTCTATCATTTCCGTTTGCTTCTTATCTGGGAAGGACAGCACTTCTATGGTTATCAACATGCTTCAGGAGGGTTTTCATTTGGTCCAAATGTCTAAAGGGGGAAGGACGGAGTCCCCTCTCCCTGCTGCTAAACTGGGGGGGGGGGGGGGGGGCTGCCTAGGAAATCACAGAGTAGGATGAGCCCCTTTCATGGCATTTTCTTCATCAGACAAAGCAACCAGCCAGCTCCTGCTGGAGACAGACTGGGAGTCCATCCTGCAGATCTGTGACCTAATCCGCCAGGGAGACACACAGTAAGTGAAGAGGGCCTGCACTCTAAACTGAGGAGGTGGCCATGCATTGCACTGGGGTCACTTGGGGCCTACTTGGTGCCCTCCACAATTCAGCCAACCACATTATGTGGCCCCTATATGCATGGTCTACATGCTGAGATTTTTGACATCTTAGAACAGTTAAGGGATTTTCACCATCCATCTTGGAGACATTGAATCTTGGGCTGGGGAAGGCTTCCAGGAGGCAAGGGTGGGAGCTGAGTTTTGACTTGCCCTGGTTATGTTAATGTTTGCTTGGGGGTTCTCAAGGACCAAGATGGTAGATGGGACTGTTCTCATCTTAGTGGCTGAACTTTTCTTTTTCCATTTTTTTCTGTGCTTTTACCCATGCCATTTCTCTTTCAGAGCAAAATATGCTGTGAATTCCATCAAAAAGAAAGTCAATGACAAGAATCCACACGTGGCCTTGTATGCCCTGGAGGTAACTAGACCCCCTGCTGCAGTGGTCTCTGGCCTTCAGCCTCAAGGTTCCTACCCCTTCGATACTTAGGAAGGCTCCAGATGAGTGAGCACCCTGTGGCCTGGCTCATCTTCCTGGGCATATGGCAAACAGGAGAGTCCTTCTCAGCCTGGAGCACAGGTGTGATCAGTGCCACCTAGGAACTGGGTCACTCTGAGGGAGAGATGAGAGAGGGAATGACTACTGCTTCTCCCACCTGTGGTCCTAGAGCAAACACTTGAAGCTGGTCTCATTGGTGTTCTTGGAGGAGCACATGCAGTGCTGACTCCTGTCTCACAAGCTGCTGTGAGACAGGAGTCAGCACTC